GGGGGGGGGGGGGGGGGGGGGGGGGGGGGGGGGTCCTGATCCACCGTGTGTCTGTCTTTGGGAAGGACGCTCTCTACCAGGAAGGCTTCCAGAGGCCACAGAAACAAACGGGGCGGACACAGCGTTCCGGAAGCCTCCGAGCGCACAGATGCCCCGGCAAGGCCGGCAGCCAGGGGCCGGGAGGCGAGGGCCGAGACCTCCTTCGGCTTCAGCTCAGTTTGCCCAACTCCCAACTTGCTGATTGAAGCTGGGGCGCCCCAGGCCCTGCACTCACAGATGAGCTGGGAATTCTTCCCGAGGGGGCGGCCGCTGGGACGGGGTGATCTGCTGGGGAGGGGCCCGTGGGCACCTGCAAACCCCAGCGGACGGCACCCGTCCAGCGAGGGCTCCGGCCTCCAGATCGGCCTGCGTCAGTGACGGCAGGGGTGAAGCCCAACCCTCCCCCATTACCTCCCCCCCGCCGCCCGGGGCCCCCACTCACCTATGGCGGCTGGCAGGTGCATTGTAGCGGAAGCCTGGGGGCTGAACGCCCTGCAATACAGAAGCGGGCGCTTCAGCGCGAGGCAAGCACGAAGTGGGGTCCCCTCTGGCGGCCCAAACCAGCCCTGGGACCCTGCTCACAATCTGCAGTGAGGGCCCCCAGGCAGGCCCGGGGCCACACTGCCTGCAAAGCCCAGGGGCCTCCTCGCTGTTCCCATCTTCCTCCCTAGAAAATGGGCGGAATTACGCCTCCTCTGGAGAAGGTGCTGACGGGGGACGGCTGAGCGAGGAAGGGGACGGGCCCGAACCGCCTGTGCGCAGCCCTGGGAGGGGCCGTGGCCGCCACGCCGCCCCCTCCTCCCTGCCCGCCGGGGTCCGCGTGCCCCTCACCATCTCCGAAGGTCTGCGTCGTCCCGGAGCCTGGCGCAGCTGGCGGACAGCAGGCTCCGCAAGGCCTCCCTCGCCTCCTTCCAGGCGGCCTGGCCGAGGCCCATGAAGCTGTTGAGAGTCGGCTGCACCAGAGCAGAGACAGGACATGGCATGGGGACAGGCGGGGCCCCCTCACGCCCGGGGACCCCCTCGCAGCTCCGCCAGCTGCCCTTCCAGCCGGGGACAGGAGTCACCTCCCCCGATGGGGCGTCATGCCCCTGCGGGTTTGCACACGGGCCACGGGGCCTGGGAGCTGCTATCTGGGGGGGCTGCCTGGTCAGGATGGCGGAGGCCCTCACACGCCTGACGGAACGGTCCACACGGACCCTCCACCCGCGTCCTGAGTGGGGTGTCGGCCAGGGAGGCTGGGCAGGACCCGCACCGTGGGACCTGAGGGCTGGTGTGCCGCAGCCACGTGTCGGGGGAGAGTCGCGCAGAGGAGGCCCCACCCGCCTAGCGGGGATCGGCTCCATGCACGGGGCCGTGTGCCCAGCTCTTGGCACACGGGACACATCAACACACACCGTCCCCCTTCCTGACCCAGGGACGGGAGGCGCACGTCGAGGCGCCAGGCCTGCGGGGACGCAGAGGCTGCCGCAGTTACCGGGAGCCTCATCGCGGGACGCCTGGGACAGGCCGGGCGCCGCACACCCGCCCCTCCCTCCCAGGTGCCGCCCCAGCCGCCCCCGGGGCCCCTGAAGGCACTTCCTCTCGCCTGAAACGGAACGTAAAGATTTCCCGGTGGCATTTGTAACAAGCCGGGCCACAGCGCCTACCTGATCGAAGACATCCTGGTGTTTGGAGAGGACGGGCCCCGTGAACAGGTGCTTAATGACACTGAGGTCCAGGATCTGGTCGCCAATGGCCACGCCGATCCTCCGCCTCGGCTGGGAGGGAGACGGCATGGTCAGCACGGGGAAGCCGCAGCCCGATGCGCTTCTTTACCCGGAAATGTCTATGAACAGCCCACGGGCCCCTCTGGATGGCCGCTGTGGAGAGGGACGGGGGGCTGGAGCCTAGCACGGCGCCCCAACCCCTCTGCCTCCCGGACGACTGACGTAGCCCCAGTGACCTCCGCCCAGGCAGCACCCGGAGTCCTCTCTCCTTACGGGACAAGCACCACGTTCACGGACCAGGAAATAAAGTGAACACTCTCGGAGTGGGAAGGAGCAGGCGGTCTGGTCCGCGTCCCTTACCAAGGCCTGCCCTCGGGGGGGCCCATCCTGAGCGCGCTGGTGACCCTCCCTCCCTCCTGAACGCCCAGCCTTGCATTTCCGCCGCAGAGAGCCCAGAGGGGGCAGCAGGCCGAGACGAGACGGGGCCCTCTCTCCGTGGTCAGCCTCGGGGCCCCGGGTCGGACAGGAGCCACACCCTCACCCTGCAGGTGGGCCCGGGGGGGACTGGCCACTCACTCCCAGATGCACCGCTAACTCCTTGGGCCTCAGTCTCTCCCTCTGGAAAATGGTAACTGATGCAATTGATGGGCAGATGAGCAACCTAGACCTCCGTGGCCACCCGCCAGGGGGTCGTGCAGGGCAGACCCCTGAGCCACTCTCTGACCCTGGCCCCCAAGCCCATTGAAGGTAAGAAGGAGCCAACTTCCAAGGCCCGGCTGCAAGCAAAGCCCAGAAGCTGCCCTCGTGTTCCACGCGGGGACCTGACGACCCACAGAAGGAGAGCGAGTCCGTCTACGTTAAATGTGGGGAAGGGGCGCCGGCTGGCTCCGTCAGTGGGGCGTGCAACTCCTGATCTCGGGGTTGTGAGTTTGAGCCCTGTGTTGGGTGCAGAGGCTACTTAAAACTAAAATCTTTTAAAAAACAGAGCATAAACATTAATAAACATCAGGCGCTGTGTTCTTCAGTGCCAGGTCAGAAGGGGGGCCTGGGGCCCGGCCAGGACACCATCCCACCACCTGGGACAGCCCTGGTCCTCTGGGGCCTCGGGGCCCCAAACCCCAGGTCCAGATTCAGCAGCGATCTCCTGCTTATTTCAGGAGAATGCACGTGTGTTCCCTGTGTTGCACCATCGCCTGCGGACAGCTTTACCAACTCCCAGGGTGACAAGGAGGGAAAAGCATGGAAGCTTTTGGTTTGGAAGCCCTCAGATGTGGGGCCCAACCCCAGTTCTGCTTCTTACTGGCTGTGAGACCTGGAGCGGGGTTCTGAGCTGTCCTGAGCCTCAGTTTCCTCCCCCATGAAATGGGAACAATAACATAAGGGCAGGTTTGTTGTGAGAAAATCAATATCTGTAAATCTCTCATCACGATACATCAGACATTCACTAGGGCAAAAAACACTTATGAAGCCTCGACCCCACGCCAGCAGGACACTAACTAAGGCTGGGACAGAGGAGGGACTGGTGTCCAACTCGGAGAAACAAAGGCAGCACAGGGAGCGGTGTCAGATAAGAGGTGTGGCTGGAGGGCAGCAGGGAGCTCCTTGGGTGAGGTAGAAGAAACAATGCGTGCTAAAGTCCTGAGGCAGAAAAATGCTCTTAGAATGTTCCCGGAAACTGAAAGGCAGTCAGTGTGCTAGAGGGAGCAGAGGGCCAGCAGGCAGAGGCAGGGCCAGACTACAGGGACTTTTAACAACTTGGCCGTCGGCTCCAGACTACCTCGGTGCCCACATCTCAGAAGCCACCATCGTCGTCTTCCCAGAGAGAGCCTCTTACGGTCTACCAATCCATGAGCACCTTGAGACGGAGGGAGGGTGCCTTGTGTGCCTTTGGTCCCCAGCTCCCTGCCCAGCATCCGGCCCAGAGCTGGGGTTCGTAAGCACTCACTGAATATAAGAATGAACGGAGCGGGGCTGGACTGAGTCACTGCTCTTCAGCCCACATTATGAAGCTCTGGCCACTGGCGGGGAGGGCGGGAGGCTGTGCGCTGGCAACCACGCCCGCCTGGCGAGGCCAGCATGACCCCTGGAATGTGCAATGTGGGCAGGGAGAGCTTCAGTGCTCCTACTCGAACATCCTGAACCTTCTAAAAGGCCAGAGGGGCACTGTTCTTTGCAGAGGGCCACGGGAAGGGGCTCCGTCTCCCGGGCCTCCCTAGGGGTTGTCCCTGCACCTTCTAATGTGCCAGCAGCAGGGGCCTGGGGTCCAAGGGGCATTAATCCCAGAGTCCTCGGGGAAGGCAAGTCAGAGCACCCGTCCTGCAAGTGTCTCTAACTGTTCTGTCCCCACCCCCCCGGAAAGGCAAGGATGCAGGCGGAGGGCAGAGTATCAGTGCTGTGCCAAGGGCAGAGCATGGCTGGCTGACCCAGGTCAAGGTTTGACCCGCTGCACTGTATTCATGCCCGTCCAGGGGACCCAGTGTTAACTGTGTCCTTGCAATATTTGGTCAGGCCTGGCCTTGTGAAACCACACAAGGGCTCTTGTGGACCCAGGCCCCCAGGAGGGCAGCCCTGGGGGTCAAAGATCAGCCGTGGGGGAGGGGCCGACTGCCAGGAGCTGCATTTCGCAATTATTTCCTGAACACTCTCGGGAGCAGGCAGACTCTGGGGTTCTGGGGTTTGCAGAGCCCAGTCAGGAGCTGGCCCTGAAGGTTGGGAGCAGAAATGGAAGCAAATAACACCATGAGGAAATCCAAGGGAACCTGCTTTCCCCACCCAGGAACCATTGATGAAGGCCGTTTTCAGAGTCTCCCAGTCAGACTACACTCACCGAGCGAAAGCTCCTTTCTTCATCTGATCAGCCAGGGAGCCTCAGGGCGCCCACCCCACGAGCCCAGCTGGAGGCAAGTTCACGGGACACCCCAGATCCCACAGGCCGCGCGCCCGCAAATGTGCCCCTCCCTCTAAGCTACTGCGAACGCGCGGTCCTCGACACCCCAGGCTCTAGGGCTGGCCTGCGAGGGACCCCAGGAGCCCCGGAGGGCCAGGGCCGGTAACAGCGGTCAAGCTGGATCCTGCTGGATCCGCTTGCATGGGGGCGACATGTTCGCATTTAATCCTCACGCGAACCCGCAGAAACCGCGGCCCACAGGTCCAATAACGCGCGTCTAGAAAGTGGGGTTCGGACCCGCCTACACTCGGCACCACTGGCTCCTCCAGAGACAGCGCAACAGCCTCCATAGGCCCCTTAGCTCACTCTCCCTGCGCCAGTGACCCCGGAGTCGCCGCGGGGCCCTCTCTGCAGAGCCGCGAGCTCCCGTGACCCCGGGGGCGGGGGGTCCTCCGCGGGGCGCGTCCGGCAGAGGACGACGGGATGCCGTCCAGCGGGGTCGGCGCTCCTGGCCGCTGGGGGCGGGAGTCGGGGGGGGGGGGGCCCGGCCGAGGCGGCGCCCCCCGCCCCCGCGGCCTCACTCCGAAGCCCCGCCCCCGCGGTCCCACCCCCCCCACGGCTCCGCCCCCGCCGTTCCACTCCGGCTCCGCCCCCGAGGCCTCACTCCGAAGCCCCGCCCCCCGCGGTCCCACCCACGGCTCCGCCCCCGCCGCTCCACTCCGGGCCCGTTCCTGGCTCGGCCCGCAGCCCCACCCCTAACCCCGCCCCCTGCCCCGCCCCCTGCCCCGCGCCGAGCGGTCTGGGGGCCGCCGCGGGAACCCGCCGCGCCTTCCTCCGCCCCTCCGTCCCCGTCCCCGCCTTGGCTCCCCGGACCCCAGCCACGCCCCCCCACAGAGCTCCACCCCCGGAGGCTTGGGTCCCTGTCCCTGGAGACCCCAGCCCCGCATCCCCCTGGGCCCCGTGACCTCTCGGCGGTGACACGTCCACTCTGCGGACCCCAGGTCGGCGCGCCTCCGGGAGGCTCACCTCAACGAGAACCACGTCTAAAAGCGCAGCTCACAGGCGCACTTCACATTCCGACGCTCCAGTGCGGGGACCAGCCGTCTCATCTCGGGCGAGTGACTCAGACTCTGGGGTGAGCCCCCCGCGCCCGTGCTGGAGAGCGTGCAGAGGGGCCGGCGGGAGGGCGCACCTTAACCCCTCCAGTGCAGGGGCGCACAGCTGAGAGGCAGCCTTGAGGCCTTCCTCTGACTCGGACTGCTCAGCCTGCGACCAAGTTCAACTCTGCGGCCTCAGTTTGCTCAGCTGCTAAAAGGGGAAGAATCATGCCTACTCCAGGATTTCCACGATGGCCAGAGAATGCCGGGCACACACGGAGTGACCAACCCCGCATCTTCCCCATCCAGGCCGAATGGCAGCCACTCCTCCGCTTCTGAGGAGGAGACAAGCAAATAAGAAGGGAACTCAGCTATAAAAGGGGTCACCACTGATTAAAAATAAGTTTATACTATAAATGCAAATTTCTTAGAAATCTGAGAAAGTTATTCTTTGAAAAAAACTTTAAAATATTTTTTAAGTTAAAATTATAGGGGCGTCTGGGTGGCTCAGTTGAGCGTCTGAGTTCAGCTCAGGACATGGTCTCGTGGGGCCTGGAACCTGCTTGGGATTCTGTGTCTCCCTCTCTCCGCCCCGCCCCTGCTTGTGCGTGAGCCCACGTGCTCTCTCTCACTCTCAAAGATAAATAAGTAAACTTTAAAAAAAAAGGTAAAATTATAAAAGTATAGGCTGTACAAAGCTAATCAATACACAAACCCGTATTGGAAACACTTTTGGCTTATTTGCTTTGGAATTCTTACAATAGAGTGGAAAGCTAATGAATTAATACAAAAAGATGTTTGCAGCCTTTTATTTACTGCAGTATTTACAACAGCGAAGACACAGAACCAGTCCAATGTCTGTCCACAGATGAATGAAGATGTGGTGCGCGCACGCACACACACACACATGTGCGCGCGCACAATGTGCAATAGTAGCATAAAAAAGAATGAGATCCTGCCATTTATGAGCACATGGATGGGCCTAGAGGGCATTATGCTAAGTGAAATGTCAGACAGACAAATACTATACGATTTCACTTATACAGAATCTAAAAAGCGAACCAAACCAAACAGAAGCGGACTCATAAACACAGAGAACAAACCAGTGGCCGAGAGGGTGATGGGAGATGAAACACAT